AAAGAATGAAGTTGAGATAGGATATGATAACGCCAAGTGGTGTCGTAAGCCTTTTCTAGGTCAAAAAGGACGGCAACAACGGAGGTCTTCGCAGCAAAAGCAGTACGAATATAGACCTCCAAGTTCACCAGGACATCTGTCGTGCTGCGGCACTTGCGGAAACCAAATTGAGAAGGGGAGAGGAGGTGATGGTGTTCCAGGAACCACATCAGACGAACGTTAACCATACGTTCAAAGAGTTTGCAGACACAACTTGTGAGAGCAATAGGGCGAAAGTCCTTAGGGGAAGTACCCAGAGACCCCGGTTTGCGAACAGGGAGGACAACGGCATCGAGCCAGTCCTCAGGGACTGACGACGACTCCCAGATCCGATTATACAGACTCAGTAAATACTGAGACGTGCTCGGAGGGAGATGGCGAAGCATCTCATAATGAATACCATCGGAGCCCGCCGCCGTAGAACCGCAGAGGGCCAGGGCAGAACGAAGTTCAGAGAGAGAGAAGGGATCATTATAGGGAAGCTGAAGATGAGTGCAGAAATCTAAAGGACGAGACTCAAGGACAGGTTTACGAAGAAGGAAAGATTGGGGAAGATGAAGACCAGAGCTAACAGAAGAAAAGTGGGAACCCAGTTCGGAAGCGACCTGCAACGGGTCCGCCACAAGAGTATCATGGAGGTGAAGGACCGGTGAAACATCGGGAACGAACTTACCCGCTATCTTGCGGATACGCTTCCAGATCTGGGCCAGAGGGGTTTCGGACGTAATTGTTGAGACATAAGATGCCCAACATTCACGTTTAGCCGTACGGATGGCCCTACGGGCCACCGCACTCGCTTTCCGAAAGAAAAGAAAAGAATCGGTCGTCTGCCTACGGCGGTGCCTCTTCCAGGCTGCACGCTTACAGCGGACAGCCCGAGCACAGTCCGCATTCCACCAGGGAACGCACTTCCGTGGACCCCGAGAGGAAGAGCGAGGAATAGAGCGGAGGGCAGCGTTGAAGACAGTGTCATGAAAAAGGAGGAGAGCGCGAGAGAGGGGCAGAAGGGAGAGGTCAGAGAGAGTAGCACTGAGGGAAAATAGGGTCCAGTCCGCCTTAGCAAACTGCCACCTAGGGAAAGAGAGGGAAGGGCGAAAAGAGAAAAAGGAAACAAGGATGGGGAAATGATCACTTCCATGGAGGTCATCAAGAACCTGCCACGTGAAATCTAAGTAAAGAGAAGAAGAGCAGAGAGAAAGATCAAGACAAGAAAGGGTGCGAGTCCGAGAGTCCAAATGAGTGGGCTCACCAGAATTCAGAAGAGACAGGGAAGAAGAGAGGAGAAACGGCTCAAGGAGGCGACCCCGGGTATTCGTCAGAACGTCACCCCAAAGAGAATGACGACAATTGAAGTCACCCAGCAGGAGCACAGGCTCCGGCAAGGAGTCTAGGAGGTGTTTCAAATCAGGAAGAGAGAGCGGGACACTCGGGGGGAGATAAATGGAACAAACTGTGTACCATTTCCCCACAAAGATACGAGCAGCAGAACAATGGAGAGGCGAAGGAAAAAGTAAAGGAACAAAGGGAACATCAGCCCGAATCAAGAGAGCAGAAGAATTAGAAGCCCCAGCAATGGCTGGGGGGGGGGGGAGAGAAAGGAATAGCCACGAAAACGACCAGGACGAGCACCAAGCATTGGCTCCTGGAGACAGACACAAAGGGGCGAAAACCGCGAAATCAGAAGTTGGAGTTCGAGGAAATTGGCGTAATAACCTCGAACGTTCCATTGAAGAATGGACAACGACGAGAAGAGAAAGGACAAAAACAGAGAACAAGGAAGAAACAAAGGCGAAAGAGCAACAGAGCACGTTAAAGAATATCAGGGTCGGGATCAGGGTCAGCAAAGTCAGGGTTAGGGGGCATGGGTAAACTGAGTAAAGACGGAGGGAAGGAAACGGGAGAACAGATCAGAGGCGGGCGGGCAGGGTCCGGAGGAGGAGGAGGAGGAAGAGGAGGAGACAACGGAGAGGAGCAGTCAAGGACAGCAGCAGGAAGAGGGGGAGTAGAAAGAGGGGAGCGCACCCCAGCAAGAGCAGCAACCGAAAGGGAAGCAGGGGCCAAAGAAACCTCCATAGCAGGAACAGGGGGCGCAAGCACTGAAACGGGAGGGGAAGGAGCAACAGAGCCAGAAGGAGGAGCTGAGGAAGAAAGCGAAGCCTTCTTACCCGCCGGGGAAGAGGAAGGAGAGGAGCCAGGCTTACGCTTCTGACTTAAAGAGACCGGTGTCCCAGCAACTACGTACCGGGCAACGGATTCCAGTGTCTCAACAGGAGAAGCCGAACGAGAGCACACACGACGGCCGTTAGGAGAGCGATGGACATCCGCCCGCACCGACAGGCGGTGGGGAGAGCCGATAGATGGAGGAAGAGGATGGGAAGGAGGATCGGAGGGGGACGAGGAAGAGGACACAGAAGACACGACAGACCGGGTAGAAGGAAGGGGAACCCCAGACAGAGGACCAGGAGGAGGATCCTTCGGGAGAGAACCCAAAGGGACAGAGGAGGGGGCAGTGGGCGCATCAGGGTCCAAGGCCCGGAAACGGTTGTGAGTCTGAGGAAGGCGGGAAGGACGAGGAGAGGAAGAGCGCAACACGCGAGCATAAGAGACATTAGCATAAGGCGGGAGCCGGCGAACCTGGCGCCTCGCCTCAGGAAAAGATAAACGCTCCCGGTGCTTCAAGTTGAGGACGGCTGCTTCAAGCTTGTAATGGACACACGCACGGGAGAAGGTAGGATGGGCCTCACCGCAGTTGAGGCAACGAGCCTGGGGAGAAGCGCACTCCGACTTAGAGTGACCTTCGCCACCACACAAAGGACAGAGAGAGACAGTCCCGGAGCAGCGGAGGGCACCATGCCCAAACCTCCAGCACTTGTTGCAGAGCCGAGGAGAAGGAATGTACTCCTGGACAGAGCACCTGGCACCAGCAAGAATGACAGAGGGTGGAAGGGTCCTACCATCAAAGGTAATCTTCACAACCCGGAGGGGTTGACGGCGACTACCACGAGGGGGACGAGTAAACGTGTCCACCTGGAGAATAGAATGGCCCTGGGCAGCGAGGATATGTCGAATATCGTCGTGGCAGTCGCGCAGGTCCCGAACACCGGTCGCAACATGGGGCGGGAGCAAAATAGTGCCAACACTGGCATTCAACTGAGCGTTCTTCGAGACCCGAACGGGGGTCTCGCCAAGGCAGGATAAGGCAGCCAAGCGGGAAGCAGCATCCTGAGAAGGAGCAGCAACGACACGTGTACCGAGACGAGTGGGGTTGAAAGTAATGGAGGCATCCACGGAATCAATGAGATGTCGATGGAGGGAGAAATCGTCAGGAGGCGCAGAATCAAGAGGGAGGAGATCAAAATATTTGGCCCACGAAGCGGGACCAAACAAGGCTTGATAGGTAGCAGAACTGGAAGGAATCGAGCGAGGGCGGCCGTGACGAGGACGGCGGTGAGAACCCCCAGAGAGAGAGGGGTTAAAAGGTGCAGTAGTTACAACCAGAGAAGGAGCCGCGCCAGGGGACGAGGTAGTCACCACTGGGGGCTTGGGGCTCGACCCAACCACAGAGGAGGGAGGGGAGCCAGAGGAAGGAGTCAGAGAGGCCAAAGGAGGAGCAAGGTCGGGGCCCAATGCAGCGGAGGCTACAGAGCCCGGTCTTCCAATACGGACCGACTCGGGGGCTTGGTCGCCCACCCCACGAGCCTGAGAAGGTAAACCAGAAGAAGCCGAAGCAGGGGTTGTCATCGTGACGAAAAGAAGAATTCACTCACGAATGTGCCCCCACACCCACCATGGAGCCACAATTAGAGGCAGGACACCCAACAAGAAGCTATCGCCGATCTTGTCGGGGCCTCCTAGGGGTGCGTCGTGAGTATACGCCCCACAAACGCCACCTTAAGAAACCGACAGTCCGTCGAGATCGGGTTCAGTGACGAAGTGGGGATTGACAATAAAAGGTTCCCCTCGCTCTCGACGTCGGGTACTGCAGTTCTACGGGTGCAAGAGTATGCCTCCTCAAGCACCCGGGCGTCAAAGTAGAAGAAGTCCAAGGGAAGAACCAGAACGAGCAAAAGGTCGGCAGGAAACGGCAAGCAGATAGGAGAAGAGGGGGGAGAAAAACGAAACAGAAGGAAAAGGAAAAGATGCCCAGCAGAATTGGAGAGGACGGCAGCAGGAGCACAAGGCTAGAAAAGGACAGAGGACTGTCCCAAGGAGCATCACACTCCGGCAGCCGCCCACTAAGCCCCCAGACGGCGACAACGAGCTGAGCGGGGAGGGGGACTGTGAAGGGGGGTTGGTTTTGGCCTCTGGTCTCCAGTAGGCTTTTAACAAGTAACAAGGTCCTGGTGTGATATAATTTGTGTGGAGGTATTCAGGTAGGTTATAACACAGCCGAGGGACCCACCGGAAAGACGCAATTCCTCACACTCAACACTTTTTCTATATATTTTTTTTCTTTAGAATTTAACAATATTGTATTGCACAATAGTGTGGTATTTGTAGACGTTTAATATTCACTAATAATTTGTTTAGCATATACAAATTATACAACCCGTTCTCGCACTTTCTTATAGTCAATATTGACTTATTAAATACGTGCATATGTGACATACTAATTTATTGTGAATATTTTAGTTTACCTTGAAAAGCTTCATAGAAAACACCGACCTTACCTAACAGTCTTAGTATGTTAAGATAAGCATCTTATTGCTTCGTAATTACAATTATTACTTAACCTATACCTATAATAGGTTAGGTAATAATTGTAATTACGAAGCAATAAGATGCTTATCTTAACATACTAAGAAGGTTAGGTAAGGTCGGTGTTTTCTATGAAGCAATATTGACTATAAGAAAGTGCGAGAACGGGTTGAATTATAACATATCATTTATGTTACATACATTTAGCATGTACAAAGTATATAACTGCATCATATAATAATTTAATATTTAACATTTTGCAGGTCAGCAATATTAAGGTTCGTCCAGAACGTGCAGCACTAACACCACCCACTGTAACATCACTTCGACCACCTGACAGGTAATTTATATCCATGAGTCTTAAGGTTTTGAGTCTTTCTTGTACTAGTACAATGCTCAAAACAGATGACATACTACATTTAGACTACTGAAACTCTTTAGTAACATCAGCAATTTTATCTTATATCATATACAGGGGTTATCTTGAGATCATTTTGGGGCTTAGCGTCCCTGCGGCCCGGTCCTCGACCAGGCCTCCATTTTGTTACACATCCCCAGGAAGCATCCCGTAGCAGCTATTTAACTCCCAGGTACCTATTTACTGCTAGGTAACAGGGGCATTAGGGTGAAACAAACATTTTGCCCATTTGTCTCCGCCTCCGCCAGGAATCGAACCCGGAACCTCAGGACTTCAAATCTGAAGCGCTATCAACTCAGCTGTCAGGCGCCCCTCAGGTACCCCTGAGGGTACCTCAGTTTAAGAATTTAATTTCCTGGAGACGGTTCGTAAACCGAAAATTTGTAAACCGAAGTGAATTTCCCCATAAGAAATATGGGTAATGGAAAATGAATTAATCCGTTCCTGACTCTCCAAAAACTTCACTTCAAAGTAGATTTTATACCTAATTCACCCAAACCTTCACTACAAAAGTATGTTTAAGTTATTACTTACCCTTGCTGATGACTCCTGTTGGCGTATGGAAGATGGTGAGGAGGGGGAGGAGGAGAGGTAAGTAATTATCAAAAGAAGGCACCGGGAAGGCTGTGTAGCACCATCAAATGTGCAGGATAATCAGAGGGCGCTAAATATCACCAAGGATGCCAATACGAGAACAGAAACACATAAGGTGAACGATATCAAAAGTATCCGAGTCACCACGAATACTATCGAGGGACAAGCGACCGCAGGGGACGGTTGAAAAGCAAGACAGACGCTCGTCCTGGAAGTCAGGACATTCAACAAGGATATGCACGACCGTAAGAGGGGACAATGCAATTTGGACAATAAGGAGCAGGGCGGAGCTCCATCAAGTGACCATGAGCGAGTATGGCCAATACGCAACCTCGCCAGAGCCGTTTCTCATTACCGGTTACGGTGGTAGGAGGACGGCCACGAGGACACACAACTGAGTACGCAGTTTGTTTCCAGTAACAGAAGACCAACAAGCCTGCCAACGGGTATGGATGGATTAATGGATAACCAGGTAAAAATCGGAATAAGGAATACCTTTACGAGAGACGGGATAAGAGCGGACAGCTTCCCTGGTGGCAGCATACGCACGCTCATTTAAAGAGACACCAATATGGTTGGGAACCCAGCAAAACTCAACCGACTTAAATTTACTGTGAATAAGAAACAGCCAATGCTGTATCTCGACAACCACTGGATGAACTGGATTAAAGGACCCGAGAGCCATGAGGGCACTATGAGAATCAACAACAACTACAAAGGAAGATTGACAACGAGATTGCAGGAGACGAAGAGCATAGAGAATAGCATAAAGTTCCGCTGTGAAGATGCTAGTCTCCAGAGGTAAGCGACACATATAAGTGCTGTCAGGAAAAACAACAGAGTAACCTACCCCATCCGCAGACTTAGACCCATCGGTGAAGAAGGAAACAGAGCGGGAGTGTGAAGAAAAGTGCTCAAGGAAAAGGCATTTCAGAACCGTAGGAGGGGTAAAAGCTTTAGTGATGCGGGTTAAGGAAGTACTGTACAAAACTGCGGAAGGGGGACTCTCTCTCACGCTCAGAGCCGGTCGGCCGAGCGGACAGCACGCTGGACTTGTGATCCTGTGGTCCTGGGTTCGATCCCAGGTGCCGGCGAGAAACAATGGGCAGAGTTTCTTTCACCCTATACCCTTGTTACCTAGCAGTAAAATAGGTACCTGGGTGTTAGTCAGCTGTCACGGGCTGCTTCCTGGGGGTGAAGGCCTGGTCGAGGACTGAGCAGCGGGGACACTAAAGCCCCGAAATCATCTCAAGATAACCTCAAGACGGGGGCAAAGAAGGAACAACACGTGGAGAAATATTAGAAATATGAACCGAAAGAGAATCCTGTAAGCGAGATAACCAGACAGAAAGAGGGAGGTGGTGAAGAGGAACAGGAACCGCAGGAGGGGTAAAAGTTAAAGCACGACAGAGGAGAGAGGAAGGATGTTGCAAGGACCGTGCAAGATAGCAAAGACAGTAGCGATCACGGTGGTCCTGGAGAGATAGGAAGCCAGTGTCAACATACAAGCTGAGGACGGGAGTCGAACGAAAGGCACCAGAACTGAGGCGTAACCCAGTATGGTGCAAAGCATCATGATGGCAAAGAGTAGAAGGAGAAGCAGATGAGTAAGCAGGGCAACCATAATCGAGTTTAGACAGGACGAGAGAGGAGCATGCCCCTATCCGCTCCCCAAAAAGTATGGGACAATACCTGAAGGAGGGTAAGGGCCTTAGAGCATTCAATTTGGAGGTAAGAGATATGGGGCGACCAAGACAAACGAGTGTCAAAAATCAACCTCAAAAGCTTGGCAGAATCCTTGTACACAAGGGGGTAACCATAAAGCGACAAAGAAGGACAAAGAACGACACGCTTCCGAGTAAAAGTCATAGCACATGTCTTAGATATAGTGAACTTGAAGCCATGTTTGGTGGTCCAAGACGACACGGCATCAATCGCAAGTTGAAGCTGGCATAGAAGGTGAGGCAAATCTAAAAAAAAAAAAAGATAGCAGAGAGTAAGATCATCGACATAGAGCGCGGAGAAGACACCAGAAGGAAGAGAGGGATGAAGACTATTGAGGGCAACCAGAAAAAGAGTAGTGCTCAGAACACTACCTTGGGGCACACCTTCATATTACTGAAAAGAGGCAGAGAGAGTGGTACCAAGCCTCACCCAAAAGAAATGATGGGAGAAGGAGCTTTCGGAGAAAGAGAAGGAGATTACCACGAAGGCCAAAAGAATGAAGTTGGGACAGAATATGATATCGCCAAGTGGTGTTGTAAGCCTTTTCCAGGTCAAAAAGGACGGCAACAATGGAGGTCTTTGCAACAAAGGCAGTACGAATATAGATCTCCAAGTTCACCAGGACATCCGCTCTGCTGCGGCACTTGCGGAAACCAAATTGAGAAGGGGAGAGGTGGTGATAGTGTTCTAAGTACCACATCAGACGAACGTTAACCACACGTTCAAAGAGTATGCAAACACAACTCATAAGGGCAATAGGGCGAAAGTCCTTAAGGGAAGTCCCCAGAGACCCTGGTTTTCGAACAGGGAGGACAACGGCATCGAGCCAGTCCTCAGGGACTGACGACAACTCCCAGATCCAATTATACAGACTCAGTAAATACCGAGACGTGCACGGAGGGGGATCGCAAAGCATCTCATAATGAATGCCATCGGAGCCCACCGCCGTAGAACCGCAGAGGGCCATGGCAGACCAAAGTTCAGAGAGAGAGAAGGGATCGTTATAGGGAAGTCGGAGATGAGTGCAGAAATCTAAAGGATGAGATTTAAGGACAGGTTTACGAAGAATAAATAAATAAATGTTTATTCAGGTAAAGTACATACATACAAGAGGTTTTACAAAAATTGATACATTTATAGATAGAGCTAGTACATACAATGTCTAAAGCCACTATTACGCAAAGCGTTTCGGGGAGAAAGGAAGAGAAAGCGGGACACTCGGGGGGGGGGGGGGGGGGCCAGATAAATGGAATTAACCATGTACCATTTCTTCATAAAGATACGGGCAGCAGAACAATGGAGAGACAATGGAAAAAGGGGACAAAGGGAACAGTAGGGCGAATCAAGAAAGCAGAAGAGTTAGAAGCCCCAGCAACAACTGGGGGGGGGGGGAGGAGAAAGGAATAGCCACGGAAGCGACCAGGACAAGCACCATGCATCGGCTCCTGGAGACAGACACAAAGGGGCATAAACCGTGAAATCAGAAGTTGGAGTTCAAGGAAATTAGCGTAATAACCACGAATGTTCCACTGAAAAATAGACAACGACAAGAAGAGAAAGGACAGCAACAGAGAACAACGAAGAAACGAAGGTGAAAAGGGAACACAGCACGTTAAAAAAATGGCCACTGCCTTTTGAACGAAAGGCGGTGGAGTTTCTGATGGGGAAGGAAGAGACATTTGCGCATCGCGTTCCGCAAGGCGCGGTGCGGCCAGCCTGGGTGGCATAAAAAGCGCGAGAACTCAGGTCTCGCTCTCACTCCCTCTCCCGACCCGGTCCACGAAGCGCCCACCCTCCTCCCCCTTTCTGTGGCTGCCAGTTTTCCCGGTCCTGACTACGTCAGTCGTTGTTCCTCACGTCTTTCCTCCCGTTTCTCTGGGGGGGGGGGGGGGGGGTGCAGCGCCCGTCCCCAAGTGTTCCGCTGTCCGCAGCTACTACTTTGACTTTACAGCCATTCTACTAGTAAGCCCTACCTTATGTCAGGTAATTCCTTCTTCCTTGGCGGCTCGGCCTCTGGCCTGGGGTTATTTTCTTCTCCAAATACATATCAGGCTTTCCCAGTCACTATGTATTTTTCCGCCGCCTGATTATTCTCCAGCTAGGGTTTCCCTTATGTTATGTTGTTCACTTTGGTGTCCTGTTATATTTAGAATTAGATTTGTTCCATTCGCCTCGCTGCTAATTCTAGACAATAGGACATTAGGTTTCTGCAGAGTTTGTTACTAGGCTATAAGATTACGTTATTTTACTACGGGTGTACAATTTTAAGATGTTTCGTGTACTTTGAGTTAGCCACGGCTATGTTATACATTTGATAAGACCTACTTAGAAGCCTGTTTTACTTCTGCAGAATTATTTATCCTGTAATAAGTTTTACGCCCCCATGTGTTGGTGTCTTCCTTCCCCTGATCAGAAAGTGCTGGATCAGGGTCAGGGTCAGCGAAGTCAGGGTTAGGGGGCATGGGTAAACTGAATAAAGATAGAGGGAAGGGAGCGGGAGGACAGACCAGAGGTGGACGCACAGGGACAGGAGAGGGGAGGGGGGAACACCGAGGGGTCAAGGACAGCAGCAGGAGGGGCAGAAACCAGGAAGTGCACCTCAGCAAGGGCAGCAATCGAGGGGGATGCGGGGAGCCAAAGAAACCTCCATAGCAGGAACAGGGGGAGCAACCACCAAAACGGGAGGGGATGAAGCGAGAGTGTCAGAGGTAGGGGGCGAGGAAGAAAGAGAAGTCTTTACTCGCTGGGCAAGAGGAAGGAGAGGAGCCAGGCTTTCGCTTCTGACTCAAAGAGACAGGCGTCCCAGCAACATTGTACTGGGCAGTGGATGCTTTGTACCAGCCAGTTGTCGAGATAGGCCAACACCCAAACACCTAAAAGATGCAGACGGACCACCACGACCTGAGTAAGGTCACGGTGGCCCATCCAACACACTCCAAGACGACCTGACAGGGTGCAGGAGAAAAGGCCTGCCCTGCCCTGCCAGCCCCAAACCTCCTCAAGGAGGAGGAGCCACCCAACACCACTGCAGGCCGCGAGAAACGACCCAAAAAGTCCACAAATCGTGAGACCAGGCGTGAGTGAACAAAGCAAGCTTCCCCTCCCCCCCCCCCATTGCCCCATCAATGGGGCGAACTGCAAAAGGGCCGACGCTTCTTACGAGAACCCGACCTGCACACAGAGCGATCACCACGCTGACCAGACGCAGACAGTTCTGAAGGCAGCGCCGGCTCTGATACTGGCACCTGCGGCCTACCCCAATGAACAGAACCCCCAAGCCCCTGGCACAACTCTTCTGGAAGGAACCCATGTGGAACCCCAAAACAACCAACAAGTCGGACATCAGACGACAGGCGGAAGAAGCCGCCCGCATATACTACTTGACCGCAGAGTCTGCAAATAGCAAGGGACAAAAGGGCGAAGACAACCTAAGAGCCAGGGCCAAACCGGATTCCGAGGAGGAAGCGAGCACAACCTGCCGACACGTGAAATGCACAGCACTCATTAAGGTGCTCAAAGTTGCCTCCCCAGGTAAACCTGGACCACCGTCACTGCCTCGCGCCACTCAAGCATGCGGGTACGACAGAAAGCACACGAAGCATCCAACGACAACAATGGGCAGTCTGCCAGCCAGGATGGCTCTGGAACCTCATAACAAACTCAATATGGAGACGACGACCCAAACCTGAAGTTAGACAGATCCATTATAGAGGCATATTCTGGGTCGCGCAGAAGGTAAGCCACAATGGTCGCCCGTGCCTCAGTAAGCAAGATATGGGAAGCCAAAAACCTCTGGAAAGACGGAACAGAAGGACCCACAGGGACACAGAACCAAACCTGGGGAGGAGCCGAACCCAAATCCAACTTGTACGCAGAGGGGGGGAAAGGAAAACCCCACTTCTTGTAACAGTCAGCTCCGCTCTGAGGGCTGGAAAACCTACGTGGGGTTCAATCGGACCCAAGGCCCCAAAGTCAGCTCCTCCCCCGACCCCAGGAACCTCTACATCAGGCCCTGAGGGCGAGTCATCCTCCAAGGCCCCGGCCTCACAAGAAAAAGCAGAAAGAGAGGGGGGGCCCACTGGTCAGACCCTGGCACCAAGGCTGGAGGAACCGACTTGAATGCCTCGGTCACCACCCCGGAAGGGGCAGCCCCCGAAACTGCCCGAGTCTCAGAAACCTCTAAACCCCACCCTGACCCCAAAGCCCTCAGATGCTTCTGAGCCAGAAGAAGGAGGGGGAGGGGAGACAGAACGAACCACAGCAGGGAAAGAATGAGGGGGGTGCGGACTGAACCAAGGTTGAAGCGACCAACACCCCTAAATCTGGGGGTTCCTATAAGCAAAGCGGGGCAGCCTCGGGACATCCATGGAAGCAACCAACCTAGCACGTTGCAGCAACCTAAAATGAGTATGCAACGCCTGAGCTGCCTGCACCGGAATAATGTCATCAGTTGTTTGGGTGAATTGTGTCACAAACAAGCAACAATGCTCACAGGACTCCGGGTCGAAGGCGTCACCGCACCGACCCAACAGGCAGCATGCCGGAGGCGAAAACAATGAGCGTCACCCCTGAGACAAGGAGACAGAGCAGCCCTTAAACTTGCACAAGGCGAGAGGGGACCCCCAGGAGTCTTATCCATCGGACCCCTTGCAACCCCATGGGGATTCCCAGGGCTCCTAGATTGGTACAGTATTGCTAGGGGTAAGCCCAGGCAGGGTACTGTTAACTGGCACCCAAAATACCAAACAAACTGCTAAAGCTGAACCCCTAGGACGTGTCCACTCACTGGGGCCAAATAGGGGGTACCACTGAACAACAGAGGTCAAGATCCTAATATAACGGGGCACTAGGAACACCAAGGCAGAACCAAATCAACCCCCCCCCTCCCCCCACCAGGCAAAATAAAAAAGAAAAGAAAAACCCGGCAAGAGGACAACGTACCCAGGCGGAATAGAGCCGGCCGCTGCGCAGTGCTCCGGACCCCTACCAGTGTGAAAACTACCTCTTACCCCAAGGTAACCAGAGAGGAAAACCCCCAACACATTCGGGGTGATCAATCACCGAGCAGCAAAAGACCAACAGAGGTAGACCCAAGGTGACTTGTGGAAGATAACCCTAAGCCCCAAGGGCGATACTTACAGGGCACTCAGGGAAGGGAACCCTGAGCACATGCAGCCCGAGTTCCTTGGATTATTATTCCCAGCTCGCACGCCACCCTAAGAGCAGTACTGAACACAAGGCACAGCACAACAGAGAGAATCCAAAGCTGGAGCCACACGACCATATCACCTCACATCAGCCTCAGAACTGGGGTGTGGATCGCCGGCGAGCAGGTCTGGGGCTCCTCCTTCCCCTTCCTAGGGAGGAGGGAGCTGCGCAGATGTGCGGCACAACTCTTGTGACATCATGCTCATTTGCTGATTTTCATTGAGGAGTCCTGTCCACTAGTTTATTTTAGTCATTTTAACCAGAATAGGGGTTTGTTTTGGGGTTCTTAACCTTCTAGGTGTCTGTCCCAGAGGATGGCAGATATAGAATGCTCCAAAATCCCATGTGCATTTCTATAGGCCATTGCTCCTCTTGCCTTTCTGAGGGGAGCCAGGTTCTGGCTCGTGGTCCCCAGTAGGCCTAGAACTCCATTCACACTGACCGATGCCAAAGTTAGGGATATACATATCAGCCTGGATAGCTCTGGGGAGCCATAAAGGGCTTTCCCCCATCAAGATGATGTGCTGTGACTTGTATATTTGTTTATATCTGATATGAGAATAAGGATAAGCAGTGGTGCATTAATTGTACCCTGAGGTACAAAGCTTTTAACTGTGCTTGGACTCTTATTTTATTTGAATAACTGTTACTCTTTGCATTCTGTTTGACAGAAAATTAAATATCCATCGTCCTACTTTACCTCTTAGTTCTATTGACCTCATTTTCTGGACTATCACTCCATGGTCACATCTAACAAATGCCTTTGCAAAAGTCAATGTGTACCACATCTGCATTCAGTTTTTCTTCTAATGCCTCAGTGATTTTTTCATAGTGGTCAAGTAACTGCGAGATGCATGATCTTTCTGTTCTAAATCCATGTTGGCCCGAGTTGTGGAGATCATTATTCTCCATAAACTTGAGATCTGATTCCTGATCACACTCTCAAATACTTTTATTTTGTGGCACTAACGTCCCACATTTATGTCTCAGAGTGTATTTGGTCTAGGAAGGTTAGGTTAGGTTAAGTTTTCTTTTCAACATCAATACAGAACATTTGTGGTTTGTCCAAATTCAATAGTACCGATTTCTAATTTCTAATTGCCTTTTACATTATGTACAATGAACCTCATTGTTAACATAAATACTACCTAAACAGAAGGATGGGCTTCATATGTACAAGTATACAAACTCTAGTGCAACCCTTAACCATTAATCCAGAATGCTCCAAACTCAGAGCCTTGTAGGGAAGTCACAGACCCTTGCACTACTCTGGACAAGGCACACCCCTTCCCCACAGGAGGCTGGCCTCCATGGGACAAAAACCCAAATCTACCTACCTGACTACTTGGCTGTGGCCATCTGTTACTATGAGGGTTATAACCCAACAACTGGCTGGATCATTTACCAAGTCATCTGCTACACTGTTTACTTTCTGTGAACCTTGCAGTTGTCTGTTTTGCTTCACTTTTCTTGGGGTTTGTTTCTTCAGTGAGGGAGATTATGAATCTCCTACTTCCTGCACCGCTGTTAGGTAAATAGGGTTTGGCCTCCAGGAGGCTATCAAGGACTTCTAGGAGTGATGTGACTTGTATGTGTTTAGCTATCTCAGTGCATTAGATACAGGAAACCACTGTTTGGCCCTTTATGTAAGGTAAAGAATAGCAGACAGTCAACCTCTAATCCTTCTCCTCCTCCTCTCCCAAAATGTGGTAAATATATTTAGGAGCTTTCAACCTATACTACAAACTTACTGTGCATATTTTCCCCATAAAGTTTAACCATTTTTTAAAATAAAAAAAATAAAAAAATAAAATGTTTATTTAGGTAAGGTACATACATAAAGTAAATTTTTACAAAGATTGGTTGACTTATAGGTAGAGCTAGTACATACAATGCCTAAAGCCACTATTACGCAAAGCGTTTCGGGCATGATAAACTTAAATGACAAGCTATATAATATACAGTATTATATACAAGCTATATAATATACAGTATTAATATACAGTATTTCTAATTTTGTGTGCTAATTTTCTCTTTTTAACTTCAATTGAAAGCATTTTCATGAAACTGTATTTGTGGACATATTAAAATATTTACCACTGTAATTCTGTGTTTAGATGTCTACTACTTTTTTGACTAAAGTTACACACATATCTTGCAGAAATAAGAATGGACAGCATGTTGGAGGTGTGACCATTCCAGGCGAACAGAGTGGAAGCAACAGCCCACCAATCGTAGCCAGCCTCTCGCCTTCCAGCATCGGCTCCTCAGATCATCATCCATACCGTAACACACCAGGGATTATATATCACCGCCAACCCATATCACCTGTAGCAACTGCTGCCTCAAACTCAGGGAATGATGCAGATTTGACTAAACAACATTTTCTCAGAGCTCATCACCATACACACTTTGCACCAACACCCAGGAACATATCTTCATCAACAAGGCACAAGATCCCAATGCTGGCAGCAACAGCAACATCCTGGAACAGCAGTATGTCTGCACATGCTGACACAAGTATAACTAGGAGAGCCCGTAAAGATCATAGAGATACAAGAATATCAAGTAGAATGGTTCCAGAACCTGTTGAGGAAGGTGACACAAAGGAAGTGACCTTGGGTGAAGCAGGAGGAACAAGCGAGGACAATGCTGCAGTGGGAGGTGTATGGGAGACAAGAGCTATTGATGAGGGCACAGTGTTGGAGAAAGGTAATCATCGACCCCATTTTTCCGATGGTCGCCCTGATACTTTTGGCCATAGTATAACTGAAGACCTCTCGCATCTCAAGACTGAGTAAGTATTTCTTCTTTTACCTGCCCTTGAGTAATATCAATAATTAATTTCATAAAAGTATAACCATGAAGTTATAGGTAAGTAATTATATTAAGAGCAGCACTAATACCAGTACTGAAATAGGTATTTGAACAAATTCTGTTCAAATTCTGTGGCTGCATGTTGAGAACAAAGAATACTTTGTTCTCAATATGCGCCCATCAAAACTATCACCTGTCAAATGAGAAAATCAACTTTCTTTTCTGTTTATGTGAGGTGTATACAGTGACCAGGTGGAGGGTGAATGAGTGCATAACACAATACAGGGATCCCTCAGTTTAAGAGTTTAATCCGTTCCTGGAGACAGCTCGTAACCTAAAAACTCGTAAACCAAAGCTAATTTCCCTATAAGAAATAATAAAAAATGAATTAATCCGTTCCTGACTACCCAAAACTTCACTTCAAACTAAATTTTATACCTAATTCATCCAAATCTACACTACAAAATTATGTTCAAGTTATTACTTACCCTTGCTGATGACTCCTGTTGGCACATGGAAGATGGTGAGGAGGGGGGAGAGGTGTTACTGTTTTTTCTGGAGTGCTCTCTCTCTGACACATACCTGGTTGATACCTGGTTGATAAGGTTCTGGGAGTTCTTCTACTCCCTGCTTGATGTGTGAGTGTTTGGTCCACCAGGCTGTTGCTTGGAGCAGCCCGCAGGCGCACATACCCACCACAGCCTGGTTGGTCCGGTACTCCTTGGAGGAAACAATCTAGTTTCCTCTTGAAGATGTTCACGGTTGTTCCGTCAATATTTCTTTTGCTCGCTGGGAGGGTGTTGAACAACTGCGGACCTCAGATGTTTATACAGTGTTCTCTGTGTCTATGGAACCTCTGCTCTTCACTGGTTCTATTCTGCATTTTCTTCCATATTGTTCATTCCAGTACGTTGTTATTTAACTGCGTAGATTTGGTACTTGGCCCTCCAGTATCTTCCACGTGTATATTATTATTTATCTCTCTCGTCTTCATTCTAGTGAGTACATTTGGAGAGCTTTGAGACGATCCCAATAATTTAGGTGCTTTATCGTGTCTATGCGTGCCGTATATGTTCTCTGTATTCCCTCTATTTCAGCAATCTCTCCTGCTCTGAAGGGGTGAGTACTGAGCAGTACTCAAAATGGGACAACACAAGTGACTTGAAGAGCACAACCATAATAATGGGATCCCTGGATTTGAAAATTCTTGTAATCCATCCAATCATTTTTCTGGCTGACGCAATATTTGCTTGATTATGCTCTCTAAACATTAGGTCGTCAGACATCATTATTCCCAAATCCTCTACATGCTGTTTTCCTACTATGGGCACATTTGATTGTGTTTTGTACCCTGTATTATGTTTAAGGTCCTCATTTTTACCATACCCGAGTATCTGGAATTTATCACTGTTAAAATCTTGTTATTTTCTGCTGCCCAATCGAAAACTATATTAATATCAGCACATTTTGCCTGCATACCACTAGGTCCTGGTTGTGGCTCACTGCTTAATTTTCTCACAATAAAACGATCTCTTGAAGATTGTTTTTAGTTTCTTCGCAACATTTGTCTGTAGTGAGGCATCACATTGTCATTGAAAAGATTAATGCAACGGCCTACTACAGCTTTCTCTGGGTGAGTCGTTTCAATAAAAGTTTGCATTTCTTCCCACATCTCACACCACTTCTTAATGGTTGAGGAAGGGGCATTCTCTGTTGCCTCATCCTCCTCCACTGGAGAAATATCCTCAGCTACCTCTTCTTGCTGCTCTTTTTGAAGGGCTTGGAGGTCTTCGGTAGGCAGTTCTTCGTTGTGTTCTTCCACCAACTCCTCCACATCACCACCATCCAATTCCAAGCCCATTTTCCGGCCCAGAGTAACAATTTCCTCAACAATAGGCACTTCATTTACAGGCTCAAATCCCTCAAAGTCTAGTTCTGGCACACATTCAGGCCACAATTTTCTCCAGCCAGAGATCAGGGTTCTTTGAGTCACTTCTTGCCAGGCTTTGTCAACGATTTAAAGCACTACAAATGTTAAAAATGGTGTTTCCAGACTTCTTTGAGGATGAGGTTTGTGGCTTCAGTCACTTCAAAACATTTCTGGAAAAGTGTCCTCTCATAAAGTTTCTGAAAATTTGCTATGATTTTCTGGTCCATAGGCTGAATTAAAGGAGTGGTGTTAGGAGGAAGGAACTTTACTGTGAGAAAATTACTGTATCTGTTCAACAATGCATCTTCCAAGCCTGGAGGATGAGCAGGAGCATTGTCAAGGAGAAGCAGGGCCTTGAGTGGCAAATTTTTCTCCTGCAGATATTTTAGTATGGCAGGGCACACCACATCATTCACCCACTCCATAAAAAAAATCCTAGTCACCCAAACCTTATTATTAGCCCCCCACATCACTCACTTTTGGTTTTTCTGCACACCATACTTTTTGAAAACACTTGGATTTTCAGAATGACATATAAGCAAGGGTTTAATTTTCAAATCGCCACTCGCATTTCCACACAGCACAAGCGTAAACCTATCTTTCATAGGCTTGTGTCCGGGCACTGATTTTTCCGCTTTGTTAATGTATGTCCTCTTAGGCAATTTTTTCCAGAACAGTCCTGTCTCATCACAATTAAACACTTGTTGCAGTAGGTACCCCTCAGCCTCTGCAAACTCTTTAAATTCTTCAATAAATCTTTCAGCCGCTGGTTAGTCTGAGCTGGCAGCCTCCCCATGCCTCACAAAACTATGAATGATGCTCCTTTTTTTTAAATTAATCAAACCATCCCATGCAAGTCTATCTTATCTGCATCACTCATTCCAGGGATTTTCTTTACAAGGTCTTCATGTAATACCCTGGCTTTCTCACAAATGATGGCCTTTGAAACACTATCACCAGCTAACTCCTTGTTATGTATCCAAATTAATAACTTTTCCACATTGTCAAGTATTTGTGGACTTTGTTTCGTGATTGTTGATACGCCTTTTGCCACTTTAACACTCAAAATGTCCTTTTTCTTGGCAAGTATAGTGCATATCGTTGACGTGGATTTGTTGTACTGCCTAGCTAGTTCAACAACACAAGTACCATTTTCATGCTTCCAAATAATCTTTTGTATTTCCTCTATTGTCATCCTCATATGCAATTTCTTGCTTTGTACCTTACCACTAGCTTTCTTGGGACCCATGGTGAGATATATAATAACTTTTATGCTCAACTGGCCTAATATCCAACAAAAAACTGTAAATCCTTGTGAAGAATTCAGGCGGGATGGTCACTGGGCGCTAGGTACTGGTAAACTGAGTCGCGACCGCCGTGCCACCACACGCTAGGTCAGTCCATACACGTATCAACAAACTCGTAACCCGATGCAAATTTTCCAACCAAATCGAGCTCGTAACTCGAAAAACTCATAAACAGGGACACTCATAACCCGGGGTTCCACTGTATACACAGTTTATGCAAGGTGTATACAGTGGCCAGGTATTGGATCAATAAGTGCATAACACTATATACACAGTTTATGCGAGGTGTACACAGTGGCCAGGTGGAGGGTCAATGTTGTTGTTGTTATAGATTCTGCTACTGGGAACAAAAGGTTTCAAGTAGCACAGGCTATGGTGAGCCCGTAGTGAGCTTACCTGAGGGTCAATGAGTGCGTAACATAAATAAATAAATAAATATGTTTATTCAGGTAAGGTATATACATACAAGTGATGTTACATTAATGGATTGATATATAGATAGAGCTAGTACATACAATGCCTAAAGCCACTATTACGCAATGCGTTTCGGGCAAGAAAAACATTAATATCTAGAACTTAATACTAATTGAGCGTAAAGAATAAAAAGTGTTGAGAACAAATACAAATAAAGATAAAAAAAAAAGGGGGAACATGACTGAAAAAGCAGCACAAATACAATAGGTTGACAAACAGTGTTGATTAAAAAAAGAAAATAACAGACATGGGTTGACAATAGAGGAGTGAGGTAGGTTACAGGGAATTTATTAGGTAGTGTTTAGTTTTTATCTTAAACTGGTTGAGAGAGGTACAGTCTTTAACATGGTTGGGAAGGTCATTCCACATTCTGGGCCCCTTGATTTGTAGAGCATTTCTAGTTTGATTAAGTCGTACTCTAGGAATATCAAAACTGTATTTATTTCTGGTGTGGTGCTCATGGGTTCTGTTACAACCTTCTATGAAGCTTTTGAGATCAGGATTGGCATTATAGTTTAGCGTTTTATATATGTATAATACACATGAGAGAATGTGCAGTGACTTAATGTCTAACATATTCAGAGATTTGAGTAGTGGTACCGAGTGATGTCTGGGGCCAGAGTTGGATATTGTTCTAATAGCAGCTTTGTGTTGGGTAATTAGAGGACGTAAGTGATTTTGGGTAGTAGAACCCCAAGCACAAATACCATAGTTGAGATATGGATAGATAAGGGAGTAATAGAGAGTCACCAGGGCAGGGCGTGGTACATAATATCTGATCTTAGAAAGAATGCCCACAGTTTTTGAAACTTTTTTTTGATATATTTAGAATGTGTCCCTGGAAATTCAGCTTGTGGTCAATGAGAATGCCAAGGAATTTGCCATCTAATTTGTTACAAATTTGGGTATTGTTTATTTTGAGATTTATTTGACTAGAGGATTTATTGCCAAACAGAATATAGAAAGTTTTGTCAATGTTAAGGGTGAGTTTGTTGGCAGTTAGCCAAAGATGGACTTTATTTAGCTCAGTATTTACTGTGGCATTTAGAGCAAGGGGATAAGGACTGGAGTAAATGAAGGTTGTGTCGTCAGCAAATAGAATTGGTTTGAGGTGTTGGGAGGCATTTGGAAGGTCATTAATGTAGATGAGAAAGAGGAGAAGGCCAAGTATGCTGCCCTGAGGAACACCAATGTTGATGGGTAGGGTGGGAGAAATTGTATTATTCACAGAAACATATTGGAGCCTGTCAGTAAGGTAGGATTCGAGGTATTGTAGGGAGTGTCCTCTGACTCCATAATGATGTAATTTAAGAAGAAGGTTTTGGTGGTTGACAGTATCAAAAGCTTTACGCAGGTCCACAAATAACCCAACAGGGAACTCCTTTTTATCAAGAGCTGTATGAATCGAGTTAAGCATACTAATAAGTGCATCGTTAGTGTTTTTTTTGGGTCTGAAGCCATATTGGCAAGGGCTAAGTATATTGAGTTTGGCTAGATATGAGTAAAGCTGCTTATAGATTAGTTTTTCAAAAATTTTTGACAAGTTTGGCAGGATTGATATAGGTCTGTAGTTGTTAACATCTGTGGGATCACCACATTTGTGGACAGGCGTTACCCTCGCTTTTTTTTAGAATATCTGGAAAGGTTTGGAGTTCAAGTGACTTGTTGAAGAGCAAAGCAATAGCAGGGGCTAAAGATCTGGAGGCTTTTTTGTAAATTAAAGTTGGTATCTCCTCAAGGGCACCAGACTTGGTTTTAAGGGAAAGGATTATCTCATTGACGTCAGTGGAGTTAATAGGCTTTAGGTACAGAGACTGTGGATAGTTACCTGTAAGATAGTCCTTAATGTCAGTACTGGAAGATGGAATATCATTTGCAAGGGATGAACCAATGGAAGAGAAGAACCTATTGAACTCAATAGCAGAATCAGAGGCTGAAAGCTGATCATCGTTATTAGACAGGAGAGTCGGTTTGTTATTTAAAGATTTCTTTGATCCCAATATTTGTGAAATTGTGCTCCAAGTTTGTTTAATGTTGCTCTTTATTTGGGTAAATTTATCTTCGTAGTATTTAGTTTTGGCTCATCTAATTATCTTAGATAGCAATAATGAGTAATTCTTTGAGAATTCTTTGGAGACAATTCCTAACCTATACTTCTTCTCAAGGTTGTGTTTTTTGTTAATGGATTTAAGTATTCCCTTTGTAAGCCAAGGATTGTTAAGCCTCTTGCTTGTGACTTGTTTTGTAAGCATAGGACAGTGGGTGTTATAAAGGCTAAGAGTTGTTTGTAGAAAAGATTGCACTGCTAGGTTGATGTCCCCTATGTTACCTAACTCGGACTCCCAGTTGACATTATCAGCAGCAGTTATAAAATTGTTTATAGCAGTTTCATTGTGCAGCCTAAAGCTTAACTCCCTTGTTTCTAGAGGTGGTTTGCTAATGTTAGTTAAGAGAAATGTGGGGTAATGGTCTGTAGTGCTATCGGTGATTATACCTGAAGTAAGCGGAGAGGTTATGTTGGTCCAGATGTGATCTAGAGTCGTGGCAGTGCTATCAGTGATTCTAGTAGGTCTAGTGATTAAGGGAGATTAATATAGTAACACTATATTCACAGTTTATTTGAGGTGTAAACAGTGGCCAGGTGGAGGGTCAGTGAGTGCATAACACTATACAGTACTCTGTTACAAGTGATTTTGGTATCAAATAATGCATGCACAAAAGCATGTTCAATTACAGTGACACCTTGACATACGACTTCCACTACTTATGAATTTTTCAATTTACGACCCAATTTTGTCGAAAAATGTGACTCGACTTACAATCGTTGCCTCGACTAGCGACTTTGTTGATACACCTATGGGTCGACTGAGCTAGAGGTTCCTGGTGGCAAGGGCAATTCTGCCTCAGTTTACAAGAGCCGCCCGCTTAGTGATGATTGCGCTTATGAAGAATTTCATTGTACTTGTTTTGTTAAAATAATAGTAATTATTATATATCTTGCCATGGGTCCCAAGAAAGTCAGTGGTATGGTTCAACCTAAGAAAATAGTTGAGAGTAGAGGCAGTAGAGGATGTCCCTTCCTCATTAAGAAAATGTGTGAAGTATGTGAAAAACTGCAAAGTTTTGTTGAAAAAACTCACCCAGATAAAGCTGTAGCAGGCCGTTGCATTGACATTTTAAATGACAATGTGATGTCTCACTACAGACATGTGTTAAAAATGTAGGGAAAAAACAAGTGTCTTTAGACAGATTCTTACCCCAGAGAAGTCATCACTGCCTGATACTGTTTGGAAGGGGACTCCCCATCCATTATAAAAACACCTCTTCTCCTCCTCCCCCCTCCTCACCATCTTCCATACGCCAACAACAATCCTCAATAAAGATAAGATATACATACTGTATTGTAGCTAGTACAAAAAGAGTGGTATTCAGTATAATATGTATTTTTAATTTAATACTTTTGGGGGTGTGGAATTTATTAATTTAATTTACATTATTTCTTGTGGCAAAATTTGTTTTGAGTTATGACCCGTCATTGGGAATGGATTAAATCCATAAGTGGAGGTGCCTCTGTATTTGTACTAATAAACCCATAATAATTTTTGCCAAGCATTTGCCAAGACAATAAATAATGTTGAGAAAAAGTCAAGGTTGTGTGCAGCAGATGTCCTTTTGTATTGGACGTGTTCAAGTACAAAATGATTCATTCTAGTGGAGTTCCATTGTACAGTATAGTGTTCCATACAAATTTTATGTAATACTGTATCCATGAAAAGTAAGTTCTTAATAATGTCCCTTTTTTGCAGTCATACATTAATTTTTTGTCAGCCACTTCACCCTTCCAAGAATTTTTCAAGAATTATTCACAATTTAAATATTGGTTACGTTAACTGCTTGATGAATTGTTATTATCAAAAACTGATTAAAAACTTAACTGTGGTTGCTGCCTAGAAATATATCTTGGAGGATCAGTAGCTGGAGACTACAGTCAACTGTATTGTAGTTGCTTAGAAAGTATAGAAATATATCAGAGAGAAGGTAATTGAAGGATTCTCAACTGGTGTGCAGTTTTCATGTATATAAGGTAAATGCATAACAGATGATGTGACATATACACACTTTTTATTAACAATTATTTATCACTGTTGCCAGAGTTCTGTATAAACTTAGTATATGCATGCCTCCTCCACTTTTCTGTAATACATAAATGAAATTAAATAGATTGTCGGTGTACAAATAATTTTGTACAAGAATTTAGTCAATTACTCTTTTGGCAGGCATTCACCACGAAGGGATCGAGGAAGAGAAGCTGTTACATTTATTTCATACCCTGCAAGTGATCATTCATCAAGGGCAGCATCTGATCAGTATTATCCTCGTCATCATGGGTTTGCAGTTCATGAAGATAATTTTCATAATACTGGTTCAACCGACTCTCATATATCCTCGGGTAGTATTCCAGAACAAGTCTCCAGAAGGGTGTCTGTCTCTCATCACGTGGCAGGACATACACACCAACCTCATCCAGAAAGAACATCTGAACCTTTTCATGGTGGTTTTGAATCTGTTGATTATACTCTCCAAAGCAGAAATAATCAGGAGGGGAACAACCCTCGTGTATATGGTCTACCTACTGATGACTTTCATCAAAATGATCGTGTGGTGCGTGAGAGAGGAACATCACCGGCCAGTCCTAACACAGCAACCACTACCTCAAGCTCAGCTAGACCTCTCAGTATCCAAGAGATTGTTAGAGCAAAAAATATGTCTAATACAGATGACTTGCTGTTATTCTTAAAAGAAAAGAACATTCCCTTTCGCAAACTTATTGAATTTATTAATCGTGGGGCAAAAATTCAAGAAGTTCTACTGTTCCTTCAATCAGATACTGACACACCAACAAATGAACCATCATTTTCATCAAAATCTAATAGCAAACCTCTCAGAGATTTGTCACTAACTGATGAGGAATATGCAGGTAATGTTTTTAAAAATAAAACTAGACCAAGAAAGAACAGTGAAATCTCTCAGGTAGCAGAGTCACCTGAATCAAATTCTGGCATAATCTTCAGCGAGAAGATTCATGTCACTGCAACGTCTGATTTGTCAGATAACCAAAACTTTCCACTGTCTACCAGTCCAGAGGATGAGCTAAATGATGAAGCACTCAAAGATACCATAGACACTGATGATGAAAAAAAGCAAAGAAGAAATAGGAATAAGGGTCAAAGAGTCAGGCAGAGGGGAAAGAACAGAGGCAAGAAAAATAAAGGTAAAAAAGGAAAAAAAGGAGAGCAAGGACTGCCTGATCTTGTTTACACAACAGTAATACTGCCTGTGGATACCAATATAAATGGAAGTGGAGCAAAAGTGACACAATTTTCAATTTCTACTGAAACACCCTTAACTACAACTACCATACCCTCTGTTTCAACAAAATCATTTATTACAACAGAGTCAAATATACCTAACTTATCAACAGATATACCCACTCCAGCTTCCTCTTCTACCCAATCACCAATAACAACACTGCCAGATGGACCAGCCAGGAAAACTACATTTACTCACTTGGCTGTATCAAGACCAAGTATTAATTTAGCACAAATACCTGTTTCACCACAGTCTCCTACTACTGCTCTAGCTTCAGCGACAGCCACGCTTTTGCCAACAACTGTTTTTATTACATCAACCCATCAAACTACCCCACCCCCAACCTCAACAACAATTTCTCTTGACCCAAGTGGTGGCAATAGTGGAACGCCACTTCCTGAAACTGAAGGATTTGCACCTGCTAAAACATCAGAAGTTTCAATCTTATCTGTAACAATTATGGAGATTCCGGCAGAGAAAAATAATGAAGATGAAACAGTGTTAGAGTATCCTAAACCAAGCAAGAAAAGGCCAAGTCACCAACAAGATACGCACAGGTCACATGAGAGGCGAAGGCCACCAAAGGTTCTACATAATTATCCCAAGCACACTTCTGTATCAACTATGGAGCAAACTGAAAATGAGTTGAAAAGCAGGACAAATTTTGTAAGGGAGCAACAAACAGATGACTATGTTTTTCCTGTAAAAGGTATCTTAATCATCAGTGGTGTTTTGGGTGCCCTGGCGGTATTTACACTCGTAGTTCTCATATCTTATGCAGTTATTAAGTGCTCCAAAAAACCTGTTGTAAATAATTACCAAGTTTCTGAACAAAAACCAGTAGCTCAATGAAACACTATTGATGGCATATATTTATATTCTCATGCACCTCAAATTCTGCTGCCAGTACTGTAAATCATTTACTGCACACTCTCACCACCGGGATCAGCATCATATTTTCTGTGATGCTGATCCCAGTAGTGACCTTACTGGGGGGTCACTACTGGGATCAGCCTACTCTAAATAAAAAACTGATCCTCTGTCATTAAAAATATACAATAAAACTACAATTCCTTAACCCTTCTGCTGCAGCAATGTTACACAATCCTCTTCCCCAGTCCAGCATTGTTTAAAAAAAATTAGTTCATATGAACATATTATATACATAAAATTATGTCAAGTTCAACAGAAATAAGCATAAAATTTTAGGTGCTATGGTTTGGCTGTGGTAGGCTGAGTAAGGAGGATTTGCCCCTAACAAATATATTTATGGAAAAATACGTGGTTAAGTCAGGAGGATTTACCCTAACAAAGATTTTTTTTTCTTTTTTTTAGAATACAGTATACACGAGTTGTTACATTCTTGTACAGCTACTAGTACGCGTAGCATTTCGGGCAAGTCCTTAATCCTAAGTTCCCTGGTAAACGAACCCCGCGAAGAATCGTTTTAACAACCAAGTACCCATTTTACTGTCGAGTTAAACAGAGGCTACAGTTAAGGATTTGCGCCCAGTAAATCCACCCCGGCCAGGATAAAAACCCAGGACAAAGCGCTCGCGAAACGCCAGGCGAGCGTCTTAACCACTACACCTCGGAGTATGGAAAAATATGTAGATTATGGGAACAGAACAAAAACAAATTTAGTCAACTTATTTATGGTTTGGTTTGGGTACCAAAATAAATGTATATGAAGATGGCAGGCAGATACCGTTGCCCTGCGATGCAGGATCAAGACCATCACCATCATGAATGATGAAATTATGTGGAAATATTTCTAGTTCCTTACTGAAATTGCATACATCACCAATGTACATATGACAGGCACTACACAAATCTGTTTGATTCCAGCAATGCAGGAGAATAAGTGTATAGGGCCTAGGTGTACAGTTGAGTGATATCTGTGATCATCTGAGTGTACGCGGTGCAACTGGGTCAAGTGGATTCCATTTCTATGCTGCTAGGAAAGGCGCATCCTCGTTTAGACTATCTCCTTCCGTTGAGTGAGAAATTTCTTGTTACCTCACGCTGTACTGTACACCTGTAATGAACTGTGGTAAGTACAGGTGTACAGTACAGCTGTGGTTGTATTTTTGGGTTTCTAGCAGGCACTGTGGATAGACATGGCTCCAACTTTTGGTCGGCTCGATGCCTTGAAACCCCCCACTGTTACTGGTCTCTCCACCTGTGTCACGCCTAACACATCAGCAGCACACTAGGAAGCAATGTCCAGTGATTCATTGTTCTTTTCTTCACTCATATCTTCCTTGTTTGACGTCTCTTTGATCACCCCTGCCTTACCCAACCGGTCAGCACCTACGTTGTTGGCTCCCTTGATATACACCACATGGAATTTGAACTGTTGCAGGAACAAGACGCAATGCATTATTCTAGGATATGTGTTTTTCAGCGTGCCGATGTGACTGAGGGGTTAGTGATCCACTTGAAACATGAAGCGTTTCCCGTACATATACAGGTAGAATTTCCTTACTCCCACGACAGCAGCAAATAGTCCTTTTTCTACAGTAGAGTACTTCTGTTAAGCACAGCACCAATACGTACCTGTATCTGTGGTACTGTACCTGTCCATAGGTTGTAGACCCTGGTAGAATCTGGTAGTCTGAAGATGGGTGCATCAGTTGGCTTCCTCTTGAGTGTTGAAAATGCCGAGTTCTCCATCTGTCCCAACACTTTAGCAGGTGCATTCTTCTTGGTCAGGTGGGTTAGTGGAGTTGCTATGGATGCAAAATTTGGGATAAAAGTTCTATAGTACCCTGCAAGTTCCAGGAATGACCTGGGACTTGCAGGGTACTATAGAACTTGTTTGCATTTTGGCGGTGGGCAGAGTGGCTTCTCTAATCTACGGGATCTTCTCATGCAGCGGCTTGTAGTACCCTCCCCCTATCACATGACCAAGGCACCTGGACTTCCTTGCAACCCAACTCACACTTGGTGGGTTTTGCAACCATTCCCACTTCTCATAGTCTTGTGAACACCTGCTTGAGCAACTCAGGTGCTCTTCCCATGTAGCAGAGTGAATGAGCACATTGTCCATGAACATTCTGCTCCAGTAATACCCCCCTCCCCCATGGCTTTGAGCATAGAACGCGCTTGACCGTTTAACATAGCCGAGACATTCACCAGTCCAAATGGGAGAACTGTGAACTGAAGGAAACCTTTGCTGGTCATGAAGGAAGTGCAGAGCGTATTGTCTTCATCTAGTGAAATCTTCCAGAATCCTTTTATCAGATCAAGCTTGGAGAAGTAGCCACTTAAAGCTAACCTCAAGATGAGATCATCTTGATTGAACATTGGTTCAGCATTAAGCTCGCCAATGGAGTTCAACTTCAGAAAGTCGAGGCAGATATGCGCCCCTTCCCCAGATTTTTTTACTAACACCATTAAACTTAAGTATGTTGAGGTCGATTACTCTATTACACCAGCATTAATCATTGATCCCAGTTCTTCTCTCACCTGCGGCACAAGGTGATGAGGAACAGGATATGGTTTCATGCGTACCGCTTGCTACTCTAGCAAAGGTTTGCGGTAGCCCCCTACCTTTGCTACTTTAGTGATGTCAGAGAACAACACCTGGTACTCTGCCACCAGTTGAGTAACCTGCTTGACTAGATCATCAGACAACTGATCATCAATCTTGACGTCTTGGTATGTCCTCTTCTGTTGTTGATTAAAGAGACCCAGTTGACCTACCTTCTCATTGTCGGCTATCACAGAGACACAGGCGATCATTGCTGAGCATTGCAAGTGGTCGATAGATCCTGTCAATGTCAGGCTGCATGGTTCTCACCTGTTCTTGCATCCTCCATGCTTGGGCATCAATATGTAACAGAGGAAGATCTCTACTCTACTCACCATTGTAATGTTAAGTGCTGTCAATCCCCCTCTAACTTACCTGTACAAAGAAAGAGTAAAGAATGTGAAGAGAAGAGAGTGAGCAATGGAAGCGGGAATGGATAGACAATAGGGGAGGAACTGAGGTAGAGAGGTGAAGTGGAAGGAACATGGGAAGGGTGACAGAGGGGGTACTAAAGTATAAGGTGGAAGAAGCAAGGACTATGAAGATAAATGTATAGAAAGATACTTATTACTAATGCTGCCACTATCCTGTCATTCTACAACCATCTTAACACCAATTAAACAGTGCAAGAGGATGCACCATTTACTGACTTCACTGAGTAATCAGCAGGCACCTGCCTAGTGGCTGTGAGGAATACAACATGGGTCACCCCCAGCCTCACCCTTACTCACACTCATCTCTCTTTGCCTCACTTCTCACCGCCCTCACAATCCATCTTGTTATTTCTACCCTAGTTTTACTTAAGAGATCAGTAATCATGATTACTTTATAATTACTCTATTAATTGGACATTTAATTAAAAGGAAATGTAAATTTAACAGAGCACTTTATTTATCAAACACTCTGAATGTAGTAATTAAGATATGAAATCTTAACCAATCACTGTATGAGTTCATTAACACGAATAAATCAAATCCCTCAACCACTTGACACATCCTCTACAATACTTGCTTACTGGTAACAGAATACACTTGTCACCACTTACTCTGGTCAAGACATGCACTACTGTACACACTCACCTCTTAACTCAGATGGAATATCCACCCAAAGTGGGTGAGTGACTGGCGGTCACCACGGGGTGGTGACTGGGGGGAGGAGATGTTTGGATGTCCTCACTCTTCTGGTTTCCACTGCAGACTCTTCACACTGCTCAAAGCAGCCTTCCCTTGTGTACTCTCATCTCCTGACCATATAAGGAGTAAAACAACCTAAACTGATCCTTACAAAACCACGCTAGCAAGCCAGTACAAGGCTCTTGTTGTCGAGTACTGCTGACGGCAGCGACTCACCAGGGCCCGAGCACCGCCTCACTTTCCTACTAAACATGCACAAACGCATGCACACAACACATCCACACACTCGGTGAAGTACACTTGCACAGTTACTAATAAACTCCTTTGCACACTCATTGAATGTCTTGCAACTTCAAAGGTTTTACACGGCTTGTTACTCTCTGACCTCGTAATGACAGCAGCCACAAGTGTGGCTGCAAATGGAGCTGGTGTCATTTGGACCATTGGTCTTGCTGCGCTCTCCATTCCTTCACAACTTGCCTTTTTTTCCTTTCTCTTCCCTTTGCTTTTCTGCTGGGTGTGGGTATGGTCACTCCCTGTGACGTCACCCCCCAGGCAAGTCACTCGTAGCTCCAGCTAACTGATGGCAGCCACACCCAGCTGAGGCAGGCTCCTCACCCTCTCCATTTTCTTTTAGGGTGGTCTTGGTCAACCTGAAATTCCCCAAAAATTTCCCAGTAACAGCTCATATACTGCACATTCCTGTTGAACTGCACAACTTTTTCCTTGGATGTATGGTGTGTCAACCCACACATTCACCTCTACCATCTCCTTAGCATAGACATTAGGTAATTGAACATAGATGCATCTACCTGTCTCACTACATGGCATGATTAGGCTCGCCCTCACCATGTGAGTAGTGGCACCTTTGTCATGGAAGATTTTTGCCAATTTTCTGTTAACACTTCCATACACCACCTCAAGGGTCCAAGCTAGTGGATCCTTTCCAATGTTGGGATGTTTCTTACCACTTGAGCTCACACCTGCTATGTAATCTGGATTCGGGTTTTGCCTCGCCATCAACTGCCCGATGACTTGGCTTGCCACAGTTGTAGCCTTCTTCATGTGCCTGTTAGAGGAGTTTCCCCTGCCCTTCCAACATAACAGTCTTAGGCTTAGCTCTCTCTCGCCAGTATCTGTAGTATGATGCTTCTCGTATGACTTCACCCCTTTCATCTGTCTCCTGGCCCCAGCCCACAGATCATATTTGACAATCTCCTGCTCTTTGAGCTTGATGTGGAGAGGTGATTCCCATGCTTCCAAGAACTGTTCACAAATTATAAGTTCATAGAACTTCCTAGTGGTGCCAAAACCATTCAGCAGCACTTTCAGTGCCTCAATCTCCATGCTGGTGTGGACCCAGAATGTGATAGATGGTTAGTGCCCTTGTAACACAAAATTCTTATCACCCCCACTTATAACACCAGCTCAGACATCGGCCAGGCCTCTTGACCCACTAGCGTACTTACCAGACTCTGCTGAACAGATGTTCATCAATGGAGACAAAAACCTAATTGTTATTCCTTCATAATATAATAAAACTTATACTTAAACACTGCCACCACTTCCCCCCCACATACGTGTGTGACTGAACGAAAAGACTGGACTAAGGGAAGAGTAGCCCAGTACCCGACAATGACCAGCCCGTCCTCCAAAAATGGGGAGGTAAATGTAACAGCCCCATAAGTGCAATTATGTACTATGTATGACAGTCAGGAATTGTACTTATTTTCACTTAAGTATTAAACTGTACTGTCAAATATTTTG